GACAAAGAGACAAGGGGTAAGAGAGAGACACAGGGAGGAGATGGGGAAGAGAGACACATGGAGGAGAGAGGAGAAAGAGACACACAGAAGGTTTGTTGGGGGGGGACAAAGAGACATACAGAAGGGAAGGGGAACAAAGTAACACACAAGGTTTGTGTGATGTATCGCTGGGCTGAGGGAAAAAGAGACACAGTGGCTGGGAGAGAGCAAGAGGCACACAGAGTCTGGAGTTAGAAAGAGACACACAGATGAGATTTGAAAGGGGACAAAGAGACAAAGGGGCTGGAGCTAAGACAAAAGGGGCTTGGGGAAAGAGACATACAGAGGCTGGAGAAGGGTAAAAAGAAACACACAGGGGCCAGTGGCGGATCCAGAGCCTGATCTCCGGAGGGGCACTTGTAGATTATTTAAATAAATAATCCAGGCACAATAACCACTACAGCTCAGTGTATTAGTTATGGTGCCAGTAGTGCTAGGATCCCACCCCAGAGTAAGTAGTCATACCGTTTAAGAACAGTTTGACAACTTACCTGGGGTCTGCTGGGATATAAGGCATAGGAGCAGTGGTGTGTGTTAGGGGTGAAGTGTGTGAGCGGTGAAGTGTGTGTGTGAGTGCGGCAGTGTATGTCAGGGTTGCAGTGTGTGTGTTAGGGGGCACTGTATGTGTGGGGCAATGTGTGTGTGAGGGTGGCAGTGTGTGTATGGGGCACTGTATGTCTGTGTGGGGCAGTGTGTGTATGGGGAGCACTGTATGTATGGGGGGGCACTGTATGTATGTGTGGGGCAGTGTGTGTATGGGGGGCACTCTGTGTATGGGGGGTCGTGTGTGTGGGGCAATGTGTGTATGAGGAGGCAGCAGTGTGTGTAGGGCACTGTATGTGTATGGGTGTGCAGTGTGTGTAAATCCCCTGGCTCACAGGTACCCCAGTTCTCAGCAGCAAACTCTAAGGACGGGTAGCCAAGACTTATAGACTTATGGTACCTGATGAGGAAATACAGAACTATGTCAAGGTGAAGGAGACATTGTTGGCCAGTAGAGTTGAGCGGACACCAGGATGTTTGGGTCCGGCGGGTTCGGCCGAACTTTGAAAAAAAGTCCGGGTTCGGGCTCGAACTTGACCCCGAACTTGACCCTGAACCTGAACCCCATTAAAGTCAATGGGAACCTGAACTTTTGGGCACAAAAATGGCTCTAAAAAACTCCTGGAAAGGGCTAGAGGGCTGACATTAGGTCCCCCCCCAATTTTTATTTATGGCCCCCACTCACCGCTCAGGGGTGGGGGCCGGGGGACAGGACAGTAGGTCCCCCCCCTTATTGTTATTTAGGGCCCCCCTTTACAAAGAGAAATATAAGTGGAGCTCTAGAATACCTGAATATGAGATGAATATGCTCAATTATAATCCTTCACAGCGATCTGTAAATAATATATGGCATATACACAGCGCATATAGTATGTACAATTGAAATATAAATAAGAATATGGTAATTCACAACTCACAAAGGTAGAGCCAACTGATCACCTGGCTCTAGTGTGTAGAGCTCTGGGATCTTTTTAAGGGAGATCCACCACCCACTTATGTCTCCTTCTGGTCTCCTCCACCTTCAGGTTCATGTGCAAGAATGGACAGGAAGACTCCAGTGATAGAAGGATCCAAATTTACTGAAGAATAAAATATATATATATATATAATAATCTACTGATTAGAAATACTTATAAAACAATAAAGTCTAAAATAAGTCTACAATAAGTCCACAATAAGTCCCTTAGTTGGTCCCCCGGGTGGGGGCTCAGGAGGGGGGATTTTTTTTTTTTAACAGTGAGCAGCCATAGGCTGCTCACTGTTTAATATACATGCCCCTACTAGCTGGGTCACATGCTGCACTGGCCAATCACAGCCATGCCATTAGTAGGCATGGCTGTGATGGCTTCTAAGGGCATACGAGTTAAACATCTGTTGATTGGCTGCCCTGCGGCCTTTCAAAACGCATCATTAAATCGCTGAACACCGAACTCCAACCCGAACATACAGTGATATGTTCGTGTTCGGGTCTGGGGTCCAAAAAAACATAATGTTCGGAAAAATTCGGGTTCGCTCAACTCTATTGGCCAGATATGTGGTTACCTCAGCAGTGTACCGGAGAAAATTTCGGGGCCTCAGAAAAAGAGGAAGAGAATCCTATGCTGAATGGGCATTCCGCCTGCACCGCGCTGAACGAAATTGGATGCAGGACTGCCAGGCAACTTCACTGGAGGATGCGTTACAGCTATTAATACTGGAGCAGTTCTTTGATCACACTCCAACCGAGATCAGAGACTGGGTGAGGGACCGTAAACCAAAGACAGTGGAGGAAGCAGCTAAATTGGCGGACGAGTACCAGGACAGCAGGCGACTAGAACCCAGCGGAGGGCGACCCACTTTCAGGCCCTCATACCAGGTACAGTACGCACCACCACCACCCAGACCTGCTTCTTTAAACCCAGCCCCTGCTTCAGCGCACACACAACATCCTACCTTTGTATGCCATAATTGCCAGCAGCCCGGGCATGTGAAGAACAACTGCTTTAATCGGAACAGAGGAGGTTGGAAAAGATCAGCACCCCTCCCCACCAGGACATACTGACACACACACAGACATACATACTGACACACACATACTGACAGACATACTGACATACATGTATGACATACAGTTTTAAACCCACCCTTCAGTTTCCTACCTTTTTCTGGAGGGTGGCTTCTCTGGGGTCCCGTGTGGTGCCTGATGCTGATGGGAGTGAGCCTCAGGCACCACACGGCCTCCTCCCTCCTACGCGGCTCCTCCTGCCCCCTCCCGCATGACTCCTCTCTTTATGGGAGAAAGAAACTTGCGGCTGTCACTTCCTCCCAGACAGCTGCCGAAAAAAAGCAAGGGGCCCTGTCATGCTGTTAGAGGGCCACAGTGCGCAACCGGGCCCCTGCTAAAAACAAGCCCACCGGGTGGCCCTAAGTGCACGGGCCACCTGGTGGGCCTACTTAGTGTGTGGGCCCCCAGCTGGCAGCAATGGCAGGAAAATAGATTCTCTGAAGCAGCTGCTTTGGGCCCCTCTGAAGTCACTGGGCCCGGGGCAGCTGCCCGTTTGCCCCAGGTTAGTAAGTCAGGGCAATTAGCTGTTCCTTTTTTCTTTACTTACTACTTACTTGGGTTCATGCCCTCCTCTTCTTGCCCTTGAGACCTAAACATACCTTACTACCATTCCTGTTCTTCCTTATTGTAACACCCACACATCGGTCTTGCCCTCTTTCTGTTGTGATTGGCCCTGTTTGTGGACACTTCCATTGACAGTCCTCCATAATGACTGACATGCTGGCTTCATTACCAGCACGTTATTGTCAACATTTTCTCCACCCCCTGACAAGTTTGCGACATGTTTACTGGGGGGCAGGGGGGAGTAACACTGGAAGGAGGAGCAGGGAAGCTGGGTTCGCCTACTCTCCTTGTCAGTATTTAAACCTTGACTGTCTTGATTATTTTTATTTGGGGGAGAGGTAGGGGCAAAGAGCTAGATACTCCCTAGTCATGGGCTCTACCTTGTATGGCTAGGGCCTTTTCCCTTCTCTTTTTACTGTTTAGCAATGGAAGCAATTGGGATCCGGTATAGCCTTCTCATCTATGGGTTAACTGCTTACAATGTTACTTCTGCTTGCCAGTGTGTGTATGGGTGTGCAGTGGCTTTCAAAGATCCGCACACTGCCCTAGTGCTCTTACACAGCTTGCTACCCATCTAACCCTAGTATTACTGTAATCCAAGGAAGGCATTACTTTGCTAACATATGATGCGCATACCTACCTGCTCTCGTGTAACAATGATCTCCATTTCACATGCAGTCCCACCATGATAGGATCTTCCTTACTATGGGCTTCCCACACAGACAGATATCTTGACTTACCAGTCAGCCACTTCAGCGATCTTTCTCCTAAAGTCATAGATATCCTACTGTTGCTTCGACACAGCTTACTAAATATCTGGCTGTAGCCTTGGGATACATGTTAAGGTATTATTTATAGCACTCAATGACAAACACATGTTTATGTGTTTATATTTACATCCATATGTTGATTATCCACCTATCCTTTCAGCCTTCCAAGGCTCTACCTTCTATACCAGGGGTCCTCAAACTCCGCCCCCCCCAGATGTTGCTGAACTACAACTCCCATGATTCTTTGAATTACATAGATAGCCAGAGAATCATGGGGGTTGTAGTTCGGCAACATCTGGGGGCCGGAGTTTGAGGACCCCTGTTCTTTACCATACTGTGATAATATGGGTTGCATACGGCTGGTATTACACAGTTTGCTAAATAGCTAACCATAGCCTCGAGATGCTGAAGTTTTTTATGCCCAGCTATCCTAAGATATTGTTTACTTGTTTATATCTTCCTTTAAGTGATGCTTTTTGACTGTTTACTGGTTCTCTGGGCCTATTATGGCTCTATATGCTGTATTGTACGACTTATTCGCGCTATTTTCCTTCTAATGTTTGTTAATGCTGTGATGTTACCTAGATCATATTTATTTCTTGTCCATTAACAGGCTGCATTCTCATTGTGATAAATTAAGTGGTAATGCCGGACTACGCGTTGACTCGATGCAAAAGAATGTTTCCATTTAACACGGTTTATTCTTTTGCCCTATTCAGGCTGTATGTTTCTTGTATTTTATTGCCTTATATTACGATGTCGTACCACCTTATGCATACTATCACTGCTAATGTATGTTATCTTTTTTTGCTAACCCAGGCTCCGTTTTACATTGCGGTAATGTGTTATACTTTCAATTTCTGCATATGCGTAATATCGCCGTGTGTCATATTTTACTGCCTACATCGGCTTTGTGGTGAAATGCTGTAATATGCTGTATCTTTACAAAAATGAAGCAAGATAACACAATGAAGTCAAAACTTTGTAACAAAACTGTAAAAAATATTTATTTTCATATTTTACGATTTTAACATTTTATGCATACTTAGTGTTGTGTTCGGTATACATAAATAACATTATAAAAGTAATTTCTGTCCTTGAAAAAAAACCAATAAATAAGTGTGGATTCACTTAAAGGGTTATTCCATCCACCATGACCACTTCAGTGATTCAAAGTGGTCCTGGTGGTAGAAGTAAGATGTGCATAACTTTAGCATGAAACACTGCACATACAAAAATATTTTTAATTATCTATTGAGGCTAGTTGCATCCCCGGCACACATGACATTGACAGATCTCCATTACAAACTACCTAAAGTTAATTTTGTGCATATTTTGCATTTATCATCAGTACATACTGCACACTGGTGAAATATGTGTTTATCTTCCCCCTTGAAGACTGGTTCAACCTCTCTCTCACTCATTGTGTGCTCTTTCCTCTTAAAAAACAGACACTTCCCTCCCTCCAAATCCTGGCCCAGAGCAAGCACTTGCCATGAGCCACTGGAACTGACTACAGAGAAACACAAAACAATGCAATATCTAGGCTTTGTTTCAGGAATTGGGCAACTTCCTTCATTCTTAAGTTGTTAAAGGTTCTTAAAGGTTCTGCTTGCCGCTGCCCAAAAACAATAGACATTTTTTATTTTATAACTTTCACGTTAATTTGTTTGAAAAGAATTCGAGTCATCTATCTTCCCGTTTACTTTAAAAGTGCAGTATCACATTATTTATACGGTCTCACTAATAATAGGGAACAATATTTTAGATTTAGTAAGGCACAACCTTGTCATATATCACTTTATTTATTATGTTAAAGTAATCTATTACTTAATTTTTGATACTTCCCAGGAGAGATAGGGATCTAAATGCCCATATGTTAGAATGATCCATCAGATATGGGAAGCATAATAGATTGTATCTTTAGAACTAAGATCACTGCTGGATGTTAATCATTTTAGTAATGCTTTGGAAACCCTTAGCTTGCCTCCACCTTGATGTCTCTAAGGGGTTTCATCCTAGAAACAGGTCACGTTGACTTGAGGGACCTGGTGACCCTATTACCCCCTCTTTGCGGGTTTGAGTGGGAGGTGTTACAATGTCCACAGTATTGTGTCTGTTCTTGTTCCTTCTTACTGGACTACCACCCACATTTATGATGTGGCTACTACATGTGACTGGCCCTGTTTGTGGACACTTCCATTGACAGTCCTCCCTAACGACTGACATGCTGGCTTCATTACCAGAACGTTATTGTCAAAATAACATTGTCATGTCAGTTGGTTATTTTTAGTAAGGTTGCGACGAGAGGTTACTTGTTACCACTCTTCCCTTTATGAACAATGAATGGCAGATCATTCTGTTTTAGCTCTCGTTGAAGTTGCACAAAAGTGCAAAAAAATGCATCAGGCATTCTGCTTATTTGATTTTAAATTCACAGTTGGGCACCGAGTGTTGCTATATAGTTAGCAGCTGGAGCCCGTTTTAGGGTGACTACAGCTTTCAGACAGATTGTGGATGGAGAAGAGTATGTGTGTTCTTGAGATAGTTTGACTATAGATATATACCTAGGCCTAATTAAAGTAAATGTGCTATATACTTGAGATGGATTTGCCTTTCTCTCTACTGCGATTCCAACTGACGCACTCTGTAAATCGAACTATAAGTTTGTTATAGTTGCAATGTGTGTGCTACAGTATAACACTAAAGTAACGTTGACTAATTGCATTACCTATACAATTGTAAGGGCATTTTAAGGTTTTGTAATGTTTTCCTAGATACATTTAGTTAGTTACCGGTTGAAGGATAGCTAAATTTATATAACAGGGCAGAGTATGAAACCTAAATGTTGCCTAATTACGCCTTGCTCTTATCCAGTGATTCAGACACCGTCCTGTCCAAGTGGAACAAGTTAATTTTATTGCCAATTTAGGACAGCTAGTTTCCTGTATAAACATAAATTAATGAGGTTATGCAATTGTAAGGAACAAGTAGGCTATACCCTTAAAGGGAATATCAATGAGTCTATAGAACACTTTACATTTACAATACAGTTTTGCCTAACTATTGATTACATGGCCTCATTCCTCCCCATTCTTATCCCAAGATACCTCCTTGCTTAAAATTCTAAGTCAGGTCACCATGGCAACTAATATTTTTGTCCTGGCACCTGGGATTTTCTGGCCCATTCAGTGGTTGTCTGCCTATGAGTGGAGGAGGGGCCGGCCAGCTCATAAAGAGAAAAGGCGTGCGGTCAGCTCAGTCAGTTGGCCTGCTGAGGGAGAGCATGGGTGTCCAGGCGGTCAGCTAAGGAAGAGTATGGGCGTGCAGGCGGTCAGCCAGCTGAGGGTGAGTGTGGGCAGGATGCTCCTGGAGGATTGAAGCAGACGGGTAGGCATGCGAGGGAGTTGTCATTCCTGCCCAGGCATCACTAAACACTATGGAGCAGAGCAGGGAGATGACCGAAGTCACACTGGACCACTCAAGCTTTCCCAAGGGTAGGGGAGGCTGGGTGGTCACAAATGTGACAAATGTGTGTGACAAAATGTCTTTGATTATTGCAGTGACAGTGAATGAGTGTATTTCAGTCAGTATGTGTACATGTGTATCAGTGAGTGTGTTTAGATTACGGGTCCCCTTCAATCACATGGGAATGGGGTTTTTACTCTTTTTTTTCCCCCCATTGCCGTTCTGGCCTTAGCTGGCCCTGTCTCCATGACTGCGATCATCAATCTTGATCATCTCAGCCAAGTCAATGCTTTACCATAGGAAAGCATTTGGTGGCTATTGCGCATGTGTGGCAAAATGCCTCACTACGCCAATCAGCATCTCCTCATAGAGATGCATTGAATCAATGCATCTCAAAGGTGAACGTTCATTCTGCGTTGAGACGCTAAATGTAGGTGCTGCGCACTGTACACTCTACAGGTCGTCTGAGTGACTGGCACTAGTAGGGTTACTAGGCAACAATGTTATTTACTCTAAAAAGGTCGGATTTACATGAAAAAGTGTTCAGTGACAGGTTACAGAAACGATAACTACATTACATGGTTCAATACTTTTTTTTTTTTTTGCTGGTTCCTAGATTCAAAGCAGATTTGTCAAGCCCTAATCTAGATTTACTCTAGGGCAGTGGTTCCCAAATCAGGATTTGTGTATTTCACTGTTTAATTCCAATAGAGATATGGACAACACCTGGACTGTTGGTGGGGTTTGGCAGAGTTCTTTATTGGTTATCTGTGTATTCATATTGAACAATAGCAGCTTTCACCTAACCCACACTCATTTTGTTTTATTAAATGAGGGTTTCTTAGGTTTTCCTTTTTTGGTTCATGTCTTTGGTTAAGTGCTACAATAAATTAAATAAGATTTGTAATGGAAGATCCTTTTTTCCTCCTTTGTAGGAGTAATTATTGAACATGTTTTTTTTTGGATTATCCCAAAGCTTGGCCCCTGATAGACACTATTGGCTCAGAAAATAAATAAGGTCACCCAAAAGGGTCCAAGAGTGGAGCTACTGAATGTAAAAATAAATATGTCTGCATTTTAGAACAGCAAACAAAATGGATTCCAGAATCAGAGTCCACTACTTCAGTTAAACATTCTGAGTGTTTTCAGGAATCCC